ATCATTTTTTATAAAAAAAATGCTAAAAAAAAATTCCTTATAAAATATAAGGAAATGTGTTACGGAATTTCAAAAAATGTATACAAAACTTATTTATAATAATGAAAAACGTATGCAAATTTTTTATAGGGTAGATAGACTGGTCACATTATAATCAGAACCTTTAGTATTTGACGGGTTAGCTATATTATATTTAGAAGTTTTTTTATAATCTGGTTTAACACTCATATTAATAACATCTTCCTTTTCGTTTAGTAACAGTTCATTTGGATGCAATTCTCACATCTTTTCTCGTTTAATAGATTTAATCATTTTTTTAAGGTAGTCGACTTGTAAATTAATAACAGCTTATTCTAAAATAAAGTAAAGTGTAGTTCTTTGTACTCATTATTCGTAAGCATTATATACTAACTAATATTTGATTCATCATCATACCTGATTTATTATCGACTCTTCTTCTTGATTCTTCTTCGTATTTTTTTCTGAATCGTCTTTACGAATGACATCTGATTCATCACAATTTCTCATTCTCAATAAATCTTCATGTCCTTTTTCTAAATCATTATCACGATTTCTTCTTGAATTATCACGATTAACATTTGGTTCATCTCGATACTTTCTTGATCTATTGCTATGATTTTTTCTATGTTTTTTTGGATATTTTTTATATTGAGTCATTTCTGATGATGAAGACTCTAACGATTCTGATGAAGAACTATCATATATACAGAAAATATCAAAATATGTATTTAAATTGTTTATAAATAAATATAATTGTAAATCAATTATTAATGATGCCATTACTGATATTTATTCTTATATTTTTCATGAAAATGTGAACGTGACTGACCTTTTCTTCGTGAAGGAGATTGTTGACCTAAATATTTGTTTTAAGAATGATATGTACATATCATAATGTATTAAAACATTGAGAACGCGTTTATTTAAAGTTATATTTTATTAGGAAAAGAATGATCTAAATAAAAAAAATCCAAAAATTGTTTTTTTATATTCATCAGCAAATCAACTTAAATACAAATAGTTTATGATAAGTTTATTTAATCAATGTGATATTGATTAAAGTATAAATGTGTTATCGAATAATATAGAGATTTTATTTTAATCAATATAATACTTTAATTGATTAATATAAATATTTGTTGATTGATATACTATAACAATATCAATAAAATATCAAGAAATAAATATACTGATTAACGCTAAATGTTATTTATTATGCAAATATATAAATTCTCTCTTAGACACATCTAATGAGAAATTCTAATACAAAGAAATTAACTGTTTAAATGCCCAAACATATAATAAGGAGTTCTAATAAAAAACAAACTAAAAGGTATAAGCAGAAAAAATCAAAGATATCTAATTCTACAACTAGAAAACTGGTTGCTTATTATTATAATCAATATAATGGTAAAGAAGTTGATTTAAGAATGAGAAAAAGACATAATAATCTCAAAGAACAGCTTGAAACCCATTCTTATACATCAAAACAAACTGCCAATAAAATGCATGAAGTTTTGAATGTTTCTAAAAAAAACTCTAAACTAATTGTAGTTGATTCATTATCTTCTGGTTCAACAAGCTCATCTGATAATAATAAAGAAGTAAATTGAAAATTGAAGAAACAAGAACCTAGAAAAAAATATGATCAGTTTCAATATACAGATATTATTGACATAAATCAAGAAGAAGAACAAACCTGATCATCCAGTTCATTAAGTAAAGAAGAATAGTTTCAATCAGCTGATGATAAATACCTACATAAAGAAGAAAAAGAATTAAGCAACAAGGATGATAGAAATCTTTTTGAACAATTTTTCGCTTCCAATTTAAATGATATAGATATCAATTTGAATCCTAAATCTACTACTAGCTTTGACGATTTGTGGATTTTACTTTAGATCTTTAAATACCAAAAAAGGTTTCGTCTTCCAGATGTAGCAATAAATTCATTAATCCAGTTTTTTCAGCTTGTTTTATTGGATGTTGATTTGAGACGATTTAAAAAATTTCCTTCATCAGCATATGTAGCAAAAAAATTGCTTGGAATCAGAAAAAAGATAAAAATATTTGCAGTATATCCTAACTGCAATAAATTGCATAATGCATATAATAGTAAATCTGGATTCAAGTGTGATTATATTGAATTCCCAACTCACCCAAAGCAAAATTATCATAAAGCTTGCGAAACTGAAATAATGAAAAAGGTTCTGATTATACAAGGATATATCTGGCGTCTGAAGTTAATATTTTCTTTGCCTAATTTGAAGAACTAATTGGCTACTATGTTTCAACGCCCAGATTTTGAACAACAACTTCTAAAATGGATAAATCAGGATATGAGAAATGGATTAATGTCTGATATATATGAAGGAAGAATTTGGAAAACATTTTTCTCTTCTCTTAAGGATCTGAATTCCTGATTTTTTACATCAGAAACTGCAGATTCTCATTTAGGAATAATGATAAATCTCAATTGGTTTTAACCTTTCAAATCTTCTGTATATAGTACTGGTATAATTTATGGAGTTATTTGTAATCTTTCACATGAAATAAGATTTAAAAAAGAGAACATGTTAACTTTTGGAATATTGCTAAGATCTCAAGAAGTTAAAAAGCATCGAATTAATCATTTTCTTACTCTAATCATTGATGAATTATTGGAATTGTGAAATGGATATGATTTGCCAGTTTCATCCAAATTTTCAAATAGAAAAAGGATACAATTAGCAATCATTTGCTGCTCGAATGACATTCCCGCTACTTGAAAATTATGTGAATACATATCAGCTATTGCGACATGTCATAGGTGTTATAAATGGGCAAATAGTGATGATAATAGTAAAAGGGCAAATTATGGCAAATTTGACGATATAGCAAGCTGGTTTATAACAAGAGACCTAAATGAACACTAACAAAATGCTACAGCTTAGTTGTATTGTCAAACAGAAAAAGAAAGAAATCATCATATTTCAATCACTTTAGCCAGGTGGTCTGAAATATTACGCTTACCTTATCATGATCTTATTAAATATCTAATAGTTGATCCCATACATTGCTTGTTCCTTGGTATTGCTCAGTGGATAATAAAGAGACTATGGATATACAATGGTAAAATTACAAACCAACAACTTGAAGAAATAGAAAAGAGAGCAAATGATATAAAATTACCATTTGATTTTGGAAGAATTCCAAATAAAATTGCTACTGGTGAAGGCTTTTCAGGATTCAGACCAATGGAAAAACTTTATTCTTATATATGCCACGCTATTAATTTGGGAGATTTTGATCGGAAGATATTAGGTAATTTTGTTAGGGCTTGCTTCTTACTAGTCTCATGCATTATTGATAATAATGCATTGAAGGAGACACATTCTCGATTGTTAAAAGTCACTCTTTTAATCGAAAGACATTATAGGCTAGAATTTATAATGCCAAATATCCACTTATCGCTTTATATTACTGACTGTTGTCTCGATTATAGTTCACTTTATTCATTCTGGTGTTATTTATTTAAACGAATGAATGGAGTATTGGATAAGTGATTTTAATAATTATTTTAATTATTTTCAAAAATAAAAATTTTATTTAATTTATTTATATTATTAATAGGATCTTTACCTAATAGTAAACGTAATATTAAGCCAGAATTATTACGTATTATAATACAAAATTGGTGATTAGATAATCTAATTTTTCAACAAACAGAAAATCAAAAACTGAAAAAAGGATTGGATTTGATTTAATCTCGACCAACTGTTGAAAGTTTAGCAGTATATGATGGATTTGAAATTGATGAATTGTCTCAATTTTTAGATATTTATCATCTTAATATTAATGACACTATAACCAGTAACGAGTCATTTCCTAGAGTAATGCTTGCTCCAAAAAAGTCTGAAGTAAACCTACCAAATGATATTTACAAGCTACTTGTAGAATATTATAACAATGCATATAAAATAATATTTGTATCGGTTGCTGATTTGGTTGAAAGTAAAGCATTTAAAAATGAAACATCTGATTGACCAATTGTTGTTATGTCTAATGTAAATCAATTTGGCCATATTCAAATTAGCACAGAAGTATTTGGATTAACTTTAGCACCCTAGTTCGCAAAGAATTCACAAATTCTTGCAAAATTCGTTCAGAGTAATGGTATTATAGAAACATTTCTCAGTCAAGTTCAATTTTATTTTGAACATAAAATTGATTTTTTGGATGGGACTAAAAGTTATTATTTAGCCTTTGTTAGATAGTTTTACCGGTAGATCATCAGAAAATTAGGTTTTATTGTCAAATTGAAAATAATGATGATTGTAGCTGTAATATTGAACTTTAGAAGAATAATTTTTATGAAATCAGTAAAGATAGTATAATTCCTATTCACAATATATATTGCTGATTTGTTAGCAGTAATTTTGTAGTAGAAGTAAAGAAACCTATTAAATATATAGCGGTCATTCCTATTAATAAACATTTTCATCTATAAAGTCATTTTTTTAATATATAGTAGCAAAAATAATAAATAAATAACAATCTATTAATAATTCTATATCAATCAGATAAATAACTGATTGATTTCTGATTTGTAATATATGCTTATTAACAACTAATCAATTCGAATAATCAAACAGTTATAAATCAGCATATATTTCGAATGATCAGCATTCTACTTGTGTTAGATAAAAAGAATATTGATCCATCTATTTGCTAATTGCAAAATCTGAAAGTTCATTATGGTAAAGGCTGTCCAGTTAGTACTAAAAGGTATAAATCAGAATATGAAATGTCAAAAGTTAAGGCAAATCAACGATGATGTAAAAAATGTAAAGGTATTAGGCATTATCAAAAGAACTGCAAAAAGGGTTAGGAGGATTAATTTCGATTCATATAAATTGCATTTATTATAATCAAATAATAAAGTCAAAGTCATATGATCATTGATCACGTGATATTATAATTAATAAATTTAAGTCACATAATCTACTATCATATAATATTTAAGGTCTAGTATTATATCATCATAGTAATATTTTATATAACCCAATTTTAAATATCAAAAAATAATATTATATTTTATTATATTTGATTAAGTACATTTTAAAATTATTATACTGCTTATTTAATATTTTTTTATCATTTAATTTTCACTACGCATAATTTTTCAAGTATATTTTAAAATTATTGTACTACTTGTTTAATATTTTTTACCATCCAATTTTCACTATGTCTAATTTTTATAATTGTTCATCAGACAAATTTTTTATAGAATTAATAGTAATTTCTTCTTCAAGAAAAGTATCTACAAATTTAGAATAAATATTATTACAATTATATTTTTGATCTAAACTATTAAAAAATTCACTAATTAAAGGTAGATTACAATTTGGTGATGGTATTAATTGAAAATTTATATTATTAAAAATATGTGATGTTGATTACTCTTGAAGAGAAGGATTTGATAAAATTGTGGTAGTAATTGAATAATAATAAGCGTAATAGTAGATATAGAAGATGTTTGTACTTAAAAATTATTTTTATTAGCAGACACATCTAATTTCATATCAAATATTAAAAAAGATGAAGGAATTTTATAGGTAGTAATATTATTAATCTAAATATAATTAAGAGTTAAAATTATTTTTTTATTTAAATTTATAAAAATAATATTTAAAAATAATAAACATACTATTTTGCAAGCTCAAAGTTATAATATAACAGAATTGAGCTATAAATGTTGATTATTTTGAACAAAATATAGGATACATATATATTACATTTATATTTTTCATATAAAATGGCAATAACTTTAGATTTTTTATTCTTTTTTTGATAAATCCTCTTCTCTTAAAACACGAGATTTTTTTCTTTTAGACTTTATTTCTTCAACAGATAATTCATCATCATCAGAATTCTAAAAAAAAAATTTAAATATTAAAATCTCACTTATTATATTTTATAATAATAAAAAAAAATTACCTCTTGATATTTATTAACTAAATTTTTTTCTTTATTATATTATCTTTTATAATTATTATCACTACCATTTTTTTGTCAGCTAAAATTACTTTTTTATATTCATTAATAAATTCTTGAAAATCTAATTTATATTTAATTTCATTTGAAGGTTTGCGTGCCTTATATGATACAATATAATCTTTTGATGCAATTTTCTTTTTCAAAATTTTTTGAACTGTTAGGCTTATTTTTTTTACAAATTTTCATAATTAGCAGGTCAAATAGTCAAAGATTTTATATTTTTATTTTGAACAATTAGTTGTATTTTTACTTCTTCAATAGTGTCTTTTTTAATATTATCTTTATCATTATCAACATTATCTTTATCATTATCAATATTATCTTTATTATCAATATTATCTTCATTATCTTCAATATTACCTTCATCATCTTCGATATTATCTTTAACTTCTTCAATATTATTTTTATCTTTTTCAATATAATCTTTCTCTCTATCAATGCTATTTTCATAAATGCTATCAATATCAGTATTATCATCATCAATACTATCTTCTTCTTTAATACTATCTCCTTTAACAGTATTTTCTTCTTCTGAAGACAAATTATTTTTAATACCTAATCTTTTTGAAGAATCTAATTTATCATTATTCTTGTTTATTTGAATTTTCTTATCTTTGCTTCTTAACTATTGAAATTTAAAAAAGTATAAGTAAATACTTTTTTAAAATCATTATTATAATTAAACCTATTATTAATAGCAAGTAAAAATAAATTGGCTGAAAGTAAAAGTTTATTTGGAGTAAAAGCACAATAATAAATTTGTTGTCTAGACTTTAAATTACTAATTTTTGATAGTTTCTTATTTTTATTACATCTGCACGAACATTTTTGTAAAGATTTAAAATAATATAAGCATTTTTGACAGGTATAACAAATACCTAAAAGATATTTACTAGTGTCTGTCATTGAAAAAATATTTAAAAATGCAAATGACCTTTAACTTTTTTTGTGAACATGTATTTTTATTTATTTATTATTAAATTAAGACTATTTAAATATAAAATACATAAGTTTTCAATATTTTCAGTGTTTTCAGTATTTTTGATTTTATTATAAATGATCAACAAATTACCTGATCATACTAATTTGAAAACTACTATAAAAAATAAACTTTAAAGATTTAAAGTAAATTATTTACTTCAAAATTAGTTAAATTAAAATTTAAAATTTAATAAAATTAAATTTATTTTAAAATATAATTATATTAATTTTAAAGAATCATAAATTTTAAATAAATAAAATCTAAAAAATAAAATAAATAATATAAAAAATTAAAAAAATTTTAAATAAAATATTAAAAAATATATATATTTATATCACAACTTACTTATATTAGATTATTACTTATTTATGTGTATATTATTATCTAATTAAAATATTATAAAATTATAGAATTTTACAAATTTTAATACTAATTTTTTAGCTTTATTTGAGGTTATTCTTATTACTCTTATATTTTCAGTTTACTAATAGAATTTGATATTTAGAAAAAAATAATTATTATTAGAAAAATAGAATAAAAAATATTAATTTCTGAAATTATATATCTCATTTAGTAATATAATACTTATTTTATTTAACTATTGAGGTAAACTATATAATACTGAATTGGTATTCATTTAATACTTTCAAAGCATTTATTTCTAAAATATATAATATATAATATCAAACTTATTTTTTATATTTTATTCAATTACTAAAATTAAAACATGTAATGCTAAATTTACAATTCTCTTACTTATATCTTATCTGATTATTAAGATTAAGACATATAAATAAAATATGCTGAATTATTATTTATCTAATATTCTCTAAAATATATAATATTATTTAATCTTAAAAATAAGGTATATACTGTAATAATGAAATGCTAAATTTGCAATTCAATTTTTTATCATATTCGTTTATTATAAATAAGAAATATAATATTAAATTAATATTTATTAGTAGTTTCTCAAATTAGAATTTCTTATTTTCTTTATATAATTTTAATTTGAAAAGTCATCAATTTAATATTATATTTTTTTATTTAAGATTTTAGATATTATTATATTAATTATTTTTAATTATTATATTAATCATTTTTGGATTACTACTGCATTAATATCTGACTGATAAATTAATCACATTATCTTTTATTTTAAAATTTTATATTTTTTAAGTAAATTTATATCAGTTTATTTAACCTAAAAATCTGAAAATATTATATTAATAAATTTTATTTTAATTTATATTAGTTCTTAAAAAAGTATAATTTTGACAGCTAATTTTACTTCAGATTAATTGAGTAAATATACTAGTAATTGATATTTTACTTTCAGATTAAAAACTTATAAGTGTATAAAAACCTTTTGTCAAAACTTATATAAATTTAGTAAGAAGCAAATAAAGGTTCTCATATTAGATAAAAAAAAGAAAGACTCATTATTTGAGAATAAATTCTTTTATTATACCAAAACTGATGATAAATAGAATATTTATTTTTATACTCTTGAATTAAATCTAAAAAATAATAATAATAAAAAAATTATTTTAATTTATTTAATGTAAATTACGAATATTGCAAAAGAAAATAAATTTAAAAAAAAATCTTGAATCAATTGAAATTTCAAAATTTATAACTACATAATAGAATATTTCACCTGAACGATATAGCCTTTATATTTACGTTGTTGTAGTTACCATCATTATCAGTATTTTATAAAAAAATTGAAAGAATTATATCATCAAGCTCAGTTATATTTAAAAAATAAATTAAGATTCACTTATTCATAATTCTTATTATTTTGTAATAATTTGATAAGAGTTAATATAATTTATAAATTTATTAATATCTATACTAAAGATCTAAATATTATTACAGCTTCTAACAAAATTTAAAAATACAAATTAAGTAATATTTAACCAAAAATCAGTTAAAATTTCAAAAGAATTTTCTTTGAAAAAAGGTTTAAAATATTGATATTATCATAGATCTCTTTATATAAAATTTTATAGATGTAATAATGATATTATGTATAAAATTTACTAAAGTATTTAGCCTTTAAAATAATTATTACAAAGTAGTTATAAAACAATCAGCTGATTTCTTAAATCTTTTAATATAGTATAAAAATGATTATTCTTAATATTATATTAGGTATATTAAAAATAAAGGAAAAAAAAAGAATAATTCAAGATCTTATCTATTTTTTCTATAAAGAAGGATTTAGAAACATACAAGAGTATTGCTTATCTAAATTTAAGATATTATAAAAGTTAAAAAGTTAAATGATTTTACTTTTAGTAAAATAAAAAGCATAATATTAAATTTTAATTAGTTTTTAGAATCTCATAAAATTATATCTAAAATATTATACCTTTAAAGTTTACAATGATTCAAACTTAACTCTCAATATCGTAATCTTATAAAAAATGTTATAGAACATGTTTGGGTACGAAAGATCTTTGATTGAGGGGCATTTAAAACGTCCTCATTCATAGCGAAGTGTTTGTTTTTCCATCAAACAATTTATTATGCATTACATACATCCCACACCCATACATACGTAAAAAATCAATGCTATAAATATAACAAAATTCTATTAAAATTTGTTTGAGAAATTCAGTAACAAAAAACAGCTAAGAATCACTTGTGAAAGTTCAAATTCACTTGATGAACATATCAAATCTTTCATCAAGGAAAAATCATGTGCACGTGAGCACATTGTAAAATATGTATTTGAGGTTTGTACAACAAAATTCAGTTATATATTGTGATATTTTTCCAATGCATCTGTCCATTAAGATATGGTAATTTCGCAATATAGCATAAAGTATTACACATGTAACATATTGATGAACGTAAGACAATTCACAATACTATTTAATTTCAAATCAACATATTTATCACTTAAGCCCTGACTATCGGTACGCGTATTTTTTTTGGTGAAGAATTCGATTTTCGACAATAAGGGTGACAGGTAGATGATGATTGTGGTTGAGATGAATTTATTGCACTAATTGTAGATCTTAACCTATTCTACAAAAATAAAAAATAATGAGATTACATTGTGAAGCAACCTGTTTGAAGATTACGAAGGTTCTTACCAACAATGAATATAATGTAGATACCACAGTAACAATGTTAAGAAAATTCGCATTCTCCGTTGGGAGCAGTATTTTTGATAATAAGCTACAACGATAAAGACCATCGTAAACCAAATCCATATTAAAAATTTTAATTTCGTCTCCTGTTGGAATTATAACCAATTAGCTTGGCAGTTAAACATCAGTTACTGTAAGATATAACAGATAATAATGATATTGTGATAACTTACCACAGATCAAAATTCCATAAATTTCTATACCAGAAATATAACCACATCTATTGACGATAAGGTCCAAAGATCCTTTCATGAACTCCGCAAGTTTTATTACACTTTTACTTATAACTTTTGAATGGTGCGGAGGCTTTATTTCGCCAAATAAGAACTCTCTGTTTATATCATCTATTTGTCCAAGTACTCTAAAATCTGGTTTTCTTCCATGGTTGTTTCCATCTAATATCCGTCTTTCTTTCGAACTTTCTGATTCGCCATTTGCCCTTCATTTCAAATACAATTATAAGTATATAGTGATGTATAAATAAATATATTACATGAAACTTACCAAACTAATGCGAAATCAGTTTTACCAAATATCTCTTCGAGAATTTGATGGCAATACCGATGAACAAATGTATCCTCGTTCAACTCATTGTTCTCGTTGAAACTTACTGAGGATAGATACATAAAACTGCAAAGCAAAAGATGTAAATAATCATTAACAAACATACAAACATGTTCTCAATAATTTTAGAACTTACAAATTCCTTGTCACTATTTGAGCACAATCGAAACATCTTTGTCTTCTTCCGTTTTCAAAGTATTCCTTAGTGACCAATTTTCGCACCACTTATTATTAATCAACTTTTTATCATCTAAAAGCTAGATCACAGGATCACAAATAGAACAAATTAATACTTTTTGCTAATTTATCAATAACATATGGGAGGTCAACTTACCGTATTATATTCTGCGATAATCACTATTACATTTTGTGGCAACATAATGGGTGCTAGTGGTCTCGGACGAATTTTATTCCACAATTTTTCGGAACATGATACATATGTTGGCTTGGATTCACTACAATACATTATTGATGATAAACATCTGCAAATATATACAAAAATTAGACATTGAAATTGATTCTATTTACACAACAAATATTGTACTTACAATATCCTTTCCATATCTTTAAAATATGAAAACGTTTGGTTGCCTTCCAATTGATTGATTACGTCAAGTTGAAAATTGCGGAAATCGAGAGAGACGTTGTGATCTTCTGCCACCCACTAAGGTAAGAAAAATTATTACTATATCGGGAAAAATGACTATAAATTCACAATACTTCTCTATATTTACGTCATTCGTAGAACTATCATTAATATAAATATTGTCGATGACATGTCTCCACGAGAGAACAGTCTTAAACTATAATTAAGAATCAAATTAATTAATAAAAAGATGCAATAATAAGTGAATGAAATTCTGTTTTTATCTCTACTTAATAATTTATTTGTAACCAATACTGATTAATATTAACCTTGTTATTACTTAAAACATCTCTTACAACGAACGGATTTTCGTCTTCATGCTCCTTAGAACGAGCAATATTGCAGTGTAGGTTAGAAACGAACTTATCACATCATACAGCAAACAAAACGAAAAAAAAATATTACTGGGGAGGCCTCGTTATAATCCTCCAATCTTTCATTAGACGGAAAGCGATAGCGAGATGTGATGATTGAGACATGCTCCTCATTATCGTGTTGATTATTCAAATTTTCATGAACTTGATCATGTTGAGAAGAATGAATCATCGGGGAAAAATTTTTGTCAATTGTCGAGTCTATTTTCGTCATTTTTTTTGACTGATCTTTACGTTCGTCCTAAAAGGTTAAATAGTATGGTTGGTTCTGTTGATTCCAAATACTAACCAAAAAAAAATGCTTATGTGTACCTCTTCCCGATCTCTTTTTGATATATTTTTTTCAGACGGTCCGGAATTGAAAGTTC